TAGCAGAGTTTGCGCGTTCATTATCCATAATTAAAGGCAGTAACAAAAAGGTTTGTTATGCTCACGAGACCATTTACATGCCATGGACATGAGAGACTCTTTCTTCATGAACACTGAGGATGTATTTGCTCTGTTTTAAAGAATTAAGTGATACAATTAAAGCGACTTTATTATGGCGCTATTTCCGCGTATGTGAGGAGTACTGTGGGACAGGAACTTCGTTTTGCCTTGTACCAGCCGGGAAGGAAGGTCCCGGCTGTCCTGTGTCACGCTTCTCACGGTGCCTTTAACTCAACACAACCGGGGCCCAAGCCCCACGCAGCTGGGGGACATACTCTGAGCCCGCTTGTTGTGGTGCCATCGGATGTATAGTAGAAATGAGTGTGGATGTTAATGCTTGTGATTCCCGCCGCCTCGGGGCCGCCGAGAGCTGTTATTTCTGTCAGAATCCTAACTGGGGAGAAGCGTGTGCGGGACGCGTGCTGGAGGCAGAGGGTCCCCGTGCCTGACGAGGCTCCCTGTGCCGCTGGTTGAAAAGGTGCCTCTGGAGGGTCTGGTGATGTGACGTGAAAATACAGTCTCAGGTGCTAACTGAAATCAGGGTTGTTTGTGGTTTTTTTTTTAAACTGGAGCGATAAGGAGATTCTTTCTCAGAGTCGTTCAGGTTTAGGACGTCAGCGGAAAGTGTTCCCGGCTGCCGCGACGGGCGAGGCAGAAGGAACTGTGATTCTGCCGGTGCTGAGTCTGGGGAGATTAATGTAAGTCCTACTGGAAATCGTGTTGGGGGTTTTATTATGAAAACCAAATTTTACTTTCATTTGATTTGGGCGCTCAATGCTGCCCACCAGTAGTTCTCAGCTGACGAGTTTCTGCAGCGTGAACACACCAGCATTCTGCGGGGCCTGGGGTTCCCTTGCTGCGTTTCGTTTGTCAGGATAGATTTTTATCCCAAACTGCCTAAGCCCATTGACAAAGAAGAATATCATAGGATTGTGGCACACATGTGAGGGCAGAGAGTGCAAATCAGAGACACGAACGGAGAGACAGGGGCGCACAGCCAGGCCCGTCTGACGCCCAGGGGCGCCCGGGTGCCCGGAGCGCAGGCCGAGTCCCGCCGGCTGCCCAGAGACGCCGCGGCCGGGGTCCGCCTGGGTCGAGGGGACGAGCCCGCTCTGCCCAGCCGGGGAGCTTGCGATAAAATGCCCAGGGGTGTGAGGTGCAGCAGCCCCTTGGAAACTCATTCACAACTCAAGGCTCCCCCTCCCTTCTGAGACCTCTCGTTTAATGTGTTCTGTGATATTTGACGTACTGTTAGAATAACCGTTTTACCCTACCAGGTAATAACATAAAATTTGCTCAGTGTAGCGTGCTTTTGGCTTGGCGTCGCCGCACCATATTGTTCCTTCCAACGCTCATTACAGTTGGCCTTTCACGTGCTAGAAATGTCTGCATGTTGCACCCACTGCTATTATTAGGAGAGAAGGTATTAGGAGTGGTTAGTTCTGTTTTCAGCCGTGAAATCCCTATACAGGAAATGGGAAGTAGAAACCCAAGAACGTGCAGCTGAACACAAGGACATGTGTGATTATTTTATCTACTCACTCAGAAAATAAATATTGAATGCTGACTATGAGCCAGGCATTGTTTTACGTACTGATAAGAGAGATCTAAACAGAGAAGAATGAATCACTTCTCCAAAGAAGCACACACCCTAGCGGGAGGCGGCAGATGGTATCTGAGCAGAACGTGAACTAGTCTCTGTCAATGGGTGATAAGTCCACGGAGCGAGACCGAGCGGGGAGGGGGATGGGAGAGGAGCGCTCGGTCGTGGGCTTCATGGCTGTGGCTCCCAGGAGACTGCAGCCGCCTGAGGGGGGGCCTGTCCCTCGCGCCGTCGCCAGAGCCACCGGCTGCCATCCCGTGTGGCACGTAACAAGGGGTGCGCGAGCGGATGGTCTGCTGCCCCTCGCCTGTCACGTGTACTATTACAGCTGCCTGGCGTGGCCGCAGGGCGACCTGCGTTTTGCTCCCTGGTGTGTCTCAAGCACCCACAGCACCAGTAGTCGCATTTAATAACCATTTGGTGAATGAATTCACAAGTCATTCAAAGAGGAACGAATGAAGCCATGCGTTCCTGACCTGAGAGCCTTGCCGGCGCCTCGGGGCAAGCCGGGCCGTCCTGCCCGCAGAGCAGCTCCCGATCACCGCCGGCAAAGCCACGGTCTGCGCGCTCAAGGATCCTGTGCGGGAACTGCTCGAGGCCCACATCCTGATGCCGGACCCACGCACCTGGACATCAGATGCAGCAATGTCCTCGCTGTGCCCTTGTTCAGCGGTCAGTGGCATGGCATGTCCTCTGTACTTAAGGTTTTTAAAACAGGCCCAGCCAACAAAGCTGTAACGGTCCCTCAGGGTTTGGAGAGTGAGGAAAGAGAGCACGAGGACAGGTGGACCGAGCTCTGGGGACAGCCTGGCAGGCCGCTCAGGGCACCAGGAGGCCTGTCTGTCTGCTCTCGTCCGGGACACTGAGCCGTGTCCACAGGTTGTGTTTTTGCAAAGCCCCTGTGACTCTTTTTCCCTGAGGGGTTTCTTCTCTTACTACTAGAGGGTCAGAGGTGTTGGGCGGGGGGCTTGCCGAGAAAAGCGCCCCGGGCGGCTGCAGCTGGGACCTGCACTAGAGTGTGGGCCCCAGGCGACGCGCCCCCCCTTGACGCTGTTGGCAGATGGGGGCGCCCTCCTCCTCGACGCCGCGCGAGGCCCAGGGATGGAAACGTTGCTGTCCGTCATTTACACACGACGACTGTAGCAGGTTCTCCCCCCCAGGGGCAGGGCTCCGACTCCTCTGACGTCGCTGCCTGTGCCGCGCGCACAGGTGGCCCGCACCTTACGACAGCGAACGACATTCGTTCCCAGGTAGAAAAGTGCGCGTTCCTTTATTTTCAGTGACAAAGTTAAGGCCATTTACGGGGAACGTAAAGTCACATTACGTCCCGGTGTACCCCCGGGGTTCACATGTGAGTTCATTTTCATCGTCCTAATTTGCCTCTTTGCTCCTTTTTTGTCTCGCTAGGGACTTCTAGAAGGTTCTGTGTTTAACTAGCAACTTTCGAAGTCCGTTCCACACTTTGCCTAGTCCTATGCAATGTGCTACAGACAAGGGTATTATGGTGAAATAAAGTAGAAAGGACTATAAAAAGTTCCTTCTGTTAGAAATTTACAGGGAAAACTAGGATTTTAAAATCCTGAGACAGGTTGCATTAAAGTCACCTCTTTAACTGTAATTCAGCATTTCCTGAATTTATATTCCTTCAGAACTTTTTTAATGGAAGAGCTTGAATTGTAAGACGCCATCTATTGTAAGTCGCCCCGTTATTTCACACGCTACTAAGAAAGGAATTTCATGGGACGACACGGCTTTGGTTGTTCAGACCCACTGAAATCTATAGTTGGCAAAACACAAACTCAGAAAACAGTACTGCACCCTACATAATGAAATGGAAATATGCATTGTAAAAGTGAAGTATTTGAAGTGGAAAGTTTGCTCGTGTGGTTCATTTTAGTCAGTAACTCAGTAATGGTCCGCGCAGCCTCGTGTTGGCCTCCACAGACGGTGGGCGGCGGCCCGGGCAGCCGGGTCTGTGCGTGTGCGACCGTCGGTGCCAGACCCCCGCGCACACGTCAGCGTCACGCCTGTAGCTCTGGGCGGCCTTTTCAGTGGCCTCTGCGTCAGGAGACGGCCCTGCAGAGGAAGCTCCAGGGCCGCAGGAACCACGCCACGTGGCCCACCCTTCATCACAGCCCTCGCTGCGTGGACCCTCCTCCTGGAGCTCGCGGTGCGGGTTCACAGAGGCTCCACGCTGCTCCACGTGTCTCCCCGCCACGTGCACGTGTGTGAGAGCGGGGCATTGTAAACGTCATTTATTAATGAGAACACCTTTCTCCACTCAGCAGGCAAGTGGAAACATCTACTTGTAAAGAACCACACTACTTACTGTGTTATTAGCAAATCACGCCTTCCGTTGTCTACTTGTAAAGATCTTTATTTGTTGAGATAAATAATATATTGTCTTGAAGTTAGATCAGAAAAGCCACACTGAATTTGCTAGTGCCATAAAATAAGTCATTTTAATAATTAAGATACATAAATAAGGCATTTATGATAGAAACAATAAAGGTGTCTCCCAACACTGTACAAATACTGAATTTCCCAGTAATTTGTAAGGAATACATTCATCTTACTACATTCAAAATAGTGATTGAACAATGATGATTACCATTTTTCCTGCATAATTTTCTCTTTATAGTCTATGAATCCACACAGTGTTACAGTAATTTACAGTGTCACAGTGCTTGGTATTCTTGAAGATATGGAATAAAACTCTTCTAAGGGTATGTAGAAAATAAAAATAAGGTAATTAAAAGTCATTTCTATAGCATTTTATAAAAACGGAACAATTAGTATATTTTCTGTAAACATAAGTTATGTGGCTCGTGCTCCGGGAAGGGTCAGCAGGTGCCATTTGCCTTTGGCGGCTGCGCGGCCTGGTCCTGCTGCCCCTCCTGCGTGGCGGGCGAGCGGGCGGCTCCGCAGCGGACGGCAGCTGGTGCCCTGGAGAGCGAGCGACACCCAGAATTCATGGGGAACCTGGGTCTTTCGAGGCTTGGGGCCGGGTGCACCTTCAGCGCTCCTTCTCCAAGGCGGTGGTTGATCAGGCAGCGCGTGGCCGCCGCCCAGGGAGCACGGTCGCCGCGCACAGGCTAGCGGCCCCGGGAGGCCGGTCGCCCCGAAGCCCCGAGGCTGCACTCATGGCGGCCGCGCCGCCTGCCTTGAAGGCGCGAGGGAAGGGCAGTCCCTGGCACCGGGCGGAGGGCTCGTGGGCGGCGCCGGGCGGCCCGCGTGAGCGGTGGCCGTGGGCGTGCGGAGCCGCGTTTGCTGCTTGTGTAGCAAACGGGTGGCAGGCAGAGGACCGGTCGTGGGGAGCAGCAGCAGGAAGCGGGCCTCACCCCCGGGACGCCCCCCGGCCACACGGGGGGCCCGCGCCGGCTTCCTGCGGCCTCCTCTTCATCTTCCTGTTCTTTCGCTTACCCTTGGCCTTATGTTTGCGTGGCTTCCTTCCCTCGCTCTCCTCTTTGTACCAGGGCCCCCAGACCCCGCCGTGGAGCTGGGGGTTGCTGCGCGGGTCTCCGGGCGGGTACCTGACGGGCACCGCGGTCCTGTTGAACCGGGACAGCCGGCGGAGCAGCTGCCGCACGATGCCGGGGTACCTGCCGGAGAGGTCCACTCTCTCGTAGGGGTCGGCCGTGATGTTGAACAGCCACACGCTCTTGCCAGCGGACAAGGTGACTCGTTCGTTGTGCCACCGGTTGGGGCCCAGGTTGCTGAAGGCCTGAGGGGGGACCCAGTCGCTGTAGCCGGGGTTGCCCGTGAGCAGCTTCCAGTGCCGCACCCTGATGGCCGACTGGATGGCCGTGTTCCAGATGCCGTAGCCCGCCGCCCAGGAGCCGTGCTTCGCCTTGGTGTAGATGGGGTCGATGTTGTGCAGGATGTCTTCCCGGGGGGAGCGCAGGCCCTCGCTGAGGGTCTCCCAGACGTCGTAGCCGTCCAGGTGAACGTCCTCGTCGATCTGCCCTTCGGCCAGCGCGATCAGCGTCGGGTACCAGTCGGTGATGTGCACGAGCTCCTTGCACACCGTGCCCCGGTTCTTCAGGAGGGGGCTGTGCACGAAGCCCACAGCCCGGATGCCCCCTTCCCAGTAGGTCCCTTTGCTGCCCCTGAGGGGCCAGTTGCTGCCCCCTGCGGCGGGCTGGCCGCCGTTGTCCGAAGAGTAGATGAGGATGCTGTTGTGGTAGAAGCCGTGCGCCTTGAGAGCCAGCGTCACGTTGCGGACCGCCTCGTCCAGGCAGGAGAGCATGGCCGCGTACCTGCGCCTGTTCACGTTGGCGATGGACCGGTAGCGCTCCAGGTACCTGCTGGGGGCTTGCAGCGGGGAGTGGACAGCCTGGTAGGCGAGGTACAGAAACAGAGGCTTCCGGGGGTCCTGGGAAGCCAGGATCTGCTGCACCCTCTGCGTGTACAGGTGTGTGGAGTACACGCCCCCGTCGTGGCCCCAGGCCGCACGGTCGTTTTCATACAGGTCGTAGCCGCACGCCCCGGGGCCGTCGCATTTGTAGTGTGTGTAGTAGTCCCCGCTCCCCAGGAGGGAGCCGAAGAAGGTGTCAAAGCCCCTCCTGGTGGGCATGCACTCCCTCCGGTAAAACCCCAGGTGCCACTTGCCCACCATGTGTGTGGAGTAGCCCAGCTCCTTCAGCTTCTGGGGCAGCGTGGCATTGTCCAGGGGGAGGCAGCTGGGCTGCGAGGGCCGGATGACCGAGTGCTGCAGTCCGGTGTGTATCTGGTACCTCGGCAGGAGAGCAAAGAGCGGGTCAGTGCAGGAAGGGGTGCTCTGCACAAGGCAGCGGCCCCCCGTAACGTGTCTGGGGGCAGGAGCTTCCCCCCGAGCCAGGCACGGCCGGTTCCGCACTCCCGCTGTGCGCTGGTCAGACCCTGCCTCGCGTCAGGGTCAGCGTTTGCCACGCCCTTGGCCGCGGGTGCTTTGGAAACTAAGCGTTCTCTGCCATCTCAGTGTTTTTAAATTCTCGCAACAGGATTTACGGGAATAATTGTTAGTGTTTTAGTTAATTGTCTGACACGGAAAACCACCATGATCAAGGAAAGGGTATAAATTTCCGAGTGTTATTGTTTTAAGTCATTATTATTTTTCATCTAGGGACCTCACATTCGCTCCTAAGTCATTTCCTGAAATAATTTATTTCAAGCTAATTCTGAAGTACTAAAACACATGCAAAAATTATGCAAAAATTTCCTGTTTGACTGTCAAAAATATTACAATTAGTCCTCAGCCTGTTAGGCCTGTCAAGGAAAAGACAAGGTTTCTGACTCACATCATTGTTGAAACACCATTTTAACGTTTTTTCAGCTGCAGTTGACATTCGGTATTATATTAGTTTCAGGTGCGTAGTGTTGAAAACGATTTTAGAGTAAATGTTGTGCGAAGGAAGGATTACATTTCCCCCAAAATAGCAGGAAGGGAGTTCTTTGATGTTTCCCACAGTGTTTACTTTTCAAAAAGTTTTACTCACAAAATAGGTTAAGAAACTCGGTCACGCTTTCTGTACATTCCAATTAGGTGAATGCGAATCTCCGGCATTGTTCTTTTCCCAAGGATGTTTTGTGACGGGCTTTTCCCCGCAGAACGGTCATCACGTAAGTGTATGAATTTTCAGTTTGGGTCAGGATGAGCCTACTAGTTCATGACATTTTAAAAGCTATCGGTTCTGTAGTTATTTATGTAAGTTTAAAAAGACTTTTTAACTAGAAAATGCAGAAATTCTGAGAAAATGAAGCTCATAGACAGTGTTAGGGCAACTGTGACAATGTCCTTGGAATCAAAGCACACCGTAACATACGATTAAAAACAATCGTTTTCCCCAAACTGATTTGCCCTGAGAGGCCCGTGTCGTCGATGGCTGGGCCTGGGCGGAGCAGCTCCGTCTATTTTTAACCGCCCAGCCGACGTGTGAGCGCTTTCCAGCGCCGCCCGCATCTGACGCTCCGTGCGGGGCTGCGGGTGCGTGCGGCTCCCGTGCCCAGCGGCCCTCGGGCCCGTCGACCCTGCCGGTCGGTCGGCTGCCAAACGCCCAGCGGTCGCAGGTGGGGGAGCGTAGCAGACTCCCGTGGGGGTGAGCGCATCACAGCCCCTTTCGGCGCCCAACTCAAGCGGGGCGGTGGCGGCGGTGGTTAGGAGTTTCACCTGGATCAGGGTTGCGACCGCTCACAGGTGAAACCACTGGTCTCCCGCAGGTGCCCGACGCTGGGCATCCCCTGCGTGCGCAGACGCGGCGAGAGGTCAAGGGGGCGTCGCGCGGCCGGTCAGCTCGGTGTTCCCGGTGTCTCCGGAGGAGAATGGTGTCCGTGCGGGAAACGTTAGAACCAACGATGGAGAGGCTTGGCAGCGGCTTCTGCCTCGCTGAGTTCTAGCCTCTTGGGCCCCATGGGAGGGAGGTTGGGGCGGAATCTGGGGCCTGCGTTAAGGGTGTGGTTTGGGTCCGACAGGCCCGGCTTTGACCGTGCTCCCCTCCTTCTTAGCTGTGTGGCTTTGCAGTGCTTCGCCCCCGGACCCACAGCTGCCCATCTGTAAGTTCGGGTGACAATGTGTAGGAGGGCCCAGCGTGGGGGAGGGGGTCAGCGAAGGACAGCCTTGCTGCTCTTGTCCCGGGATCCTGAACCGCGCCGCTCGCGTATTGCTTTATAGTTTCGTAGTTAGAGGCCTTCTTCCACGCGTGGTGCGGGTCTCGTCCTCACAACAAGGGGGAAAGCTGGGCTCCTGACGTCCATGCCACAGAACCGAGTTCAGAGGAATAGAGGGTCCCAAGTCCCCCCCGCCCGCCGGATGCCAACGCCCATTTGTTGAGTGAATGACAGAGAGTGCGCGGGACTCCACTGAGGCAGGAAAAGAGGACAGGCCCCGCGTCTTGAGGAGCGACTCTCTCCAAGGAGGGAGCAATGGGGAGGAAAAGGAAGCTTTCGTTTCCTGTTGTGTAAGTTTACGTAAAAATGAAATTTAGAGGAATAAGTCTCAAAAAATTAGCTTCTGCTACTCAGATTCATGACTAACACGGGACCAATTTTACCAAGGCCTTTGACTAATTTAAAAAGAAATCTAAGTGCCGAGTTCCCGGGAACACTCATGCCCATGCTTGTTGCCCCCGGTGGGGACACCCCCCAGGAGGCCGCGTGAGGCCGCGGGGGAGGGGACGGACCGAGCAAGTCATGCTGCAGCGTCGCCAAAAGCCGCTGTCCCCTCAGCTGCCCTGCGCGTCCACAGGGTGGGAACAGAGGGGCCCCCGAGCCCCGCTGCCCCGCCTGCCGGTCCCGCTGTGAGCGCGGCTGCCCCGGTGCCGGCGGCAGTGCTGGGCTGTACCCCGCACCCCCGTGTCTCTTCCCGACCAGCCGCGGGGGGCGTGCGGCCACCTCGGGGCCACCTTTCTCTGGCTGGAAGCGAAGAGCCAGTGACCACGGGAGGCCCCCTCTCAGTTTTGCTGGACAGTTACCCGAGGAGGAGCGCGGCCCCCAGACGGAGCTGCGGCGGCGCCCTCGAGGCCCGCCCTTGTGAGGGCGCCCCGGGCCGGCTGGGAGGCAGGCAGAGCTGGGAGCACGCCCGAGTGCGGGGGGCTCCCCCGGGGGCTCCCCGGCCGGGGTTCGCCTCCGTCGCCGTGGCTACCTCATGGCACCCCCGCGGGCGGCGTGCTGGCGTCGCGGCACCGAGTACGAGGAAGTGAAGCAAGAAGGCCGGGTGGGCAGCAGCCTCTGCCCCTCCGTCCCCCGGGCCCGCACACGGGGCAGGTCCCCAACGTGCGTTGTCTTTCCCTCCCGCCTTTCCCGGCCTCGACGTGGGAATGGAGTCAGACGCTGCGAAAGCCAGGACTCTGGGGATGCACACGATATAGTTACCAGGATGTGCACAGTTCCAAGAAAATGCTGGGGCTTGTCCTGCTGGGCGGTCGGAAAGGGGAGGGGAGCTCCTCCGTGTCGGCCGCCCAGGGCCGCCCTGCAGCAACGACCTTGGGAAGGAAGGGAATCCTGAGCTCCCCTCATGCGCCTCTCTGGCCCCGAACCCGCCCTGCGGTGGCTCCCCTGATGGCGGACGCACCAGCCGGACGAGCGTGGGGCTGGCAGGTGAGAGGCTTGGTCTGAAGGCAACGGGCGCGGGGCATTCTCTGAGCGACATAGGTCCTGAGTCAGACGGAGCAGAGAGAGGGGAGGACAGGCTGACCTTGTCTCCAGAGGCCGGCCCGGTCTGCGGGTCCTGCCGGGTGCTGCGACCTGAACGCCAGAGCCCTGCGCGTCAGCGCGAGAGGCCTGTGCTCAAGGGGCCGCTCTCTGTCCGCAGCCAGAAGGGGCTGCGTCTGCCCCCCCGGAGCCGTCCCTCGGCCCAGCACTGCGGACCGTCTCTGGCTGTCCCGGGTGCGCAGCGGCGGCGCCGGCCCGGTGTGGCCGAGGGCCCTCATTCCAGTACCGCCTCGTGCAGGAGGAGGGCTGGGGAGGGCAGCGAACAAGGGGGGGTTTCTGTGTTGAAGTCACAGGTGAACAAGTGGAAAGAGCAGGATCTTTCCAGGCAAAGCCTGAAGAGGCAGGAAGGAGAAGCCGGGAGCAGGGAGGCCTGGGGAGCTGGTACCCAGCCCTGCAGCTCCTTCTCGAATGCTTCCCGTGGGCGAGGCTCTGTTGTTCACGAGGCAGCCCGTTCCACTTGGGACCAATGTGCATATCGCAGGCTTGTGTCTGGACTGAGCCCGGCTCTGCTGGTCTGGTGGACGCCCTGCGTGACCGCCCCCACATACGTGCAGACAGGTCCTGTGTCCATGGCCGCTCGGCCGCTCCCGATGCTCTGTCGTGGCCAGAGCTGCCCCCGGGCACGCGCTGCAGTGTCCCTGCGAAAACCTGGCACCAGGGCTTGGACACGGTGCAGACCTCACTGGCCCTCGCCGGCCGGACTGGCTGACCGACCTCTGCGCTCCACGGGGACCCCTGTCTGCGGGGCTGGCAGCTCATCACACTGCGGGCAGTCTGCTGGCAGCGGGGCCCTATGTTAGTTTTTCCTTTGCCAGGTTTCCTGCATCGCGTAGGGCACAGTCTAATTTGTGAATCTTCCCGCCTTTGAAAGGCCTAGAAGATACTTGATTTTGTCCTGCACGGTGTGAACTGCTTCCCCCCGTGGACTCTGGTAAATAGGTGTCTTCATCCCATGTCCGAGGTGCGGCGGGGACAGTGCTAACTCAGAGCAGAGCCTTCTAAGGCGTGATGGGCCAGCGGCCCTCAGGTAGCCCCGCTTCCTTAATGAGGGCCTCAGCCGGGTTTACTCATCCTGCAGCCTGATTTCTTTCTTTAAAGGGTTGTCTTTCCAAAAGCCTTGCTGAAACCAAAACCCAGTGTGCTGATAACTTCCCCCATGTGGGCAGACCAAGTGCGCTCGCACGCGGTTCTTGGCGAATCTCAGGTAGGTGACCGCCATCTCTGATCCCATAGCCAACCCGCTCAGCAACCTCCGTTCCCGAGTCAAGCACAGTTTTTTTAGATCGGGACACCGTAATCAGCTCACTGGTCTTGCTTCTATAATCCTGATTTTTCTCTTTTTGACATTGAGGCTACACATTTCAATATTCTGATACCTGTGCTTTTCAGGAGTCGTCAGCGGCTGCTTTTCACTTTCTCACACATGTACTAATGTTCGAAATGGGGCCTGTCACATACCGCACGGTGGCTTCCCCACCCCGCTCCCCGCTCCCCGCTCCCCCGGCCTCCGCCTCGGCCTAGTGGGGGGGTCACGGAGCTGCGGTGCAGG